CAATCCTACTTCCGTAGTGATACTGCCTCGGAAACCCAAGGAGGGGTCGCTATGAGTCGGGTTTGACTCAATGGCACATAACAACAACAACAACATGTATCTAAAAATACCCTAAACAAGATAGCATTAAAGGTTAATAGCCCACTGAATTGGGGGATAGCATGGAAGTTGGAGAGTTGGTGAAAATTGCAACAAAAAGCAGTCAAGGGTTGGTTTCTTTACATATAAGAAACTTGTATAAATTGATTAGAAAATGCCACCCAATAGATTAATAAACAAAAGGCATTTTACTGCTAACCAAAAGGCTAGTGGTTCAAACCCACCAGCCACTCCTCAGAAGGAAGGCTGGGTAATCAACTTCCATGGTGATACCACTTTGGAATCCCAAGGAGGGGTTGCTGTGAGCTGGATATGACTCAATGGCAGTGAGGGGTGAGATATACAGATAATCATGGAAAGAAGTCAAGTTCTCATAATTTACCATTCAGAAAAATGTTTAACTCAGTGATGATGAAGGAAATGCAGACTAAAATAGTATACGGTTGTTCACTGATCAATTCTGCATAGTTAAAAAAGGTACCTAGTTCAAGACTGCAGATGTAAAAATAGACATGCCCAAGACTGCTGGAAGGGTATATAAGTGTAATGAAAATCATTTGGCAAACTGTCAAGAACCTTAACTGTTCATATCCTTGGACCTGGTTCTTTCATTTCTGGAAATATATCCTAAGGAAATAATCCTAGCTACAGAAAAATCGTTTTCAAAAAGATATGCACTGTGGCATTACTTATATTAGTGACAAATTATAAACTACCTAAAAGGCCGTCAATGAGAGATTGATTAGGTATGTTCACTCTGTGGGATGCTGTGAAGCAAATAAAGAAGTATTTAAGAGTTTGTAATAATATGAAAAAATACTAAGGTTAAAAAAAGTAATATACAAATTTGTTCTTATAGTTTGATCACATCCATATAAAAAGGGGCAGGGAGGGACTGGATAATGCACCATATTCAAATCATTTGCATGTGGATACTTATATTTTTAAAACATTGTAAATATGGGGAAACATGTATAGTGGAAAAATATTTAACAAATTCTTTTTTTACTTTTATCATGGTGAAAACTTACACACCAAGACATTGACCAACATAACAACCTCCACATTTACACCTCAGGGACACTGATGAAAAATATATAATGAACTCTTTAAAAAGAGAGAAGTCTTGCAGAAGGTTTTATTCTTTAGCCCCAGAATTTCCCAACTGAGACTTATAGAATGTGAATTGTAGTTAACTCTAGAAATTCACATTGCTTTTCTAACTATCTCAACACATTGAAATTCTGCAGAGCACAGTGATAGGCTAGGAAAAAAAACTCTTCCCAAATGTCCAGTCTCTTGTAGCCATGTCTGACCAAAGGTCTGCAGATAATTTACTTAAAGAAACAAAGGAGTCTCAGACAGTTACTCTCAGGCCTGCAGCTGTTATTAATATGGGTTTATAAAAGTTCCATGGAATGAAAATTAAACCAAAAACCCATTGCTTTTGAGTCGATTCCAACCCATAGCGACCCCATAGGACAGAGTAAAACTGCCCCTTAGGGTTTCCATAAACCTTCAGGGAAACAGACTGCCTCATTTTTCTCCTGGCTTGTGGCTTTGAATTGCTGACCTTTCTTTTGATTGTCAACTAAGCACTTAGCCACTTTGCTACAAGTGATCCTGGAATGAAAATTAAAAAAAACTAAATTTACTGACATCGAGTTAATCCCGACTCATAGCGACCCACATTGGGTTTCCAAGGTGGTAAAACTTTATGGAAGTAGATTGCCCCATCTTCCTTACTCTGAGTGGCTGGTGGGTTTGAACCACCAGTCTTCTGGTTAGGAGTTAAATGCACTACCAGAGCTCTTTAGGAATGAAAATAGTAACATTTAAATACATAAATACTTGGTTTAACCTAACATGGTTGGATTGATCTTGAGTATTGCAGTTAAGCCTGCTGACTGTTAGGTGATCCAGTCCCCAAACTCCCAAGTTATCTGAGTCATGTGTTTAAAAAAAAAAGTTGCCAGGGCTTGTAATTTCTGTTTTGCTGTGTGCCCTTTCCTAATTCTTCCTTATCATTTCTCAAAGATGTGATAAGAACATGGGACCTGGGACCTGGTGTTATAGTTTTTGCTCTTTGCAATTTTCTCTTCTTGAATTAAGGATGTTGGTGAATGGCAAACTCCACACGTGTACTTGTCTTTTCTTGTAAACACAAACTTGTCAGACTTCTTATGCTAAGTGGCAGACAATAGCATACTTTTTGACTTGTCTAGAAAATCTGAAACGTGTCTAGCCCTCTACTAAGGAACACAGTTTTATTTTAAAAATTTAATTTTTTTTTCTAATTATAAAAATAGTAAGTATTAATTACAGAAAAATCAGAAAATAAAGATTTAAACCAAAAAACAAAAAACCTTACCATTATCCTATCCAGGAGAGCAACAGATTGTAGTACCTTAGTGTGTATCTACTAAACTCAAGTATTTAAAAACAAAACAAAACAACTTAGGACTGTCCCATAAATATTACCATGTATGTAGTCTTTACTTTTCACCAAATAGAAACATCATGAATGTCTTACTATGTTAATGAACATACTTCTGCAATGTCACTTTAAATGACTACATTTTGTGTATTGAAGTAATTTAAACTAGTCATTGTTAGACATTTAGTTGGTTCTGAACTTTTTACTGTTACAGTTTTCAAGGAAACATCCTTGTAGCTAAATTATTGTACATATCCTTAATAACTTCCTTAGGAAGAATTTCTGAAGAGAAATTGCAGGACCAAAGGAGGAATTTTTTTTAATACATTTTATTGAAATATAATTTATGTACAGTGAAATATACAAAACTAAAGTGACAGGGGTCAATGCATTTTTTTTTTTTGCAGTGTTCCGTCCTCCCCCCTCCCACCCTGGCAACCAACAAAGAAAGTTCCCTCCATATATAAACCTTTCCTTGACCCTCCACAACAGTGAACTAATACTGTATTTGTCATTCTGTGATTGACTTACTTCACTCAGCATATTGTCCTCCAAGTTCATCCATATTGTGCAGTGTTTTGCAGACTCTACATTATTCTTTAGCGCTGCATAGCATTCCATTATGTGTATGTACCATCTAGAAGTTCTGTAACAACACAGTTTTTTCCCTCTTTTTGGTTTGTAGTTGTCCTCCTCTGTCAGTTGATGTCTCTGGTTCCCTGTTTACAATCTTGTAGGCATATTTACTTTGGAGCAGGGTTGGTTTCTGGGTTATGTCATCATGTGTGTTAATGGTCAGTTGTTGTTGGCTGCTGTTGCTTCTTTGTCCAAAGGGCTCCCTTTAGTATCTCTTGTTAGGTTGGTCTGGTTTTAACAAATTCTTTTAATTTCTGTTTATGTGGAAATATCCTAATTTCACCATCATATTTGAGGGACAATTTTGCTGGGTACATAATTCTTGGAAATTTTTCTCTTTCAGTGTGTTTTATATATACCATCTCATTGTCTTCTTGCCTGCATGGTTTCTGTCAAGAAATCTGAGCTTAGTCTTATTGGTTACCCCTTGTAGGTAATTTTTTGTTTTTCCCATCGTACGCTCATGATTCTTTCTTTGTCTTTGGTTTTGG